AAAGAGATTTGGCAGCGTTGGTCAGAAAAATCACTCTTAAACTTACTTCTTCCTAGAAATGTTTCATTATTTTTGTTTTAAAGAATGTAGAAAGATATGTATATCGCTTCACCGCAGTCAGCTCATGTTCCTGTTTACAAAACTGTTAAAGGCAGTGCATTAGTCATTAAACAAAAACAGTGGAGTTGGGGTCTGATGTATTCTTGGCTACATTAAAAGTAGCTTTAATACTTCAATCAAACCCCTTCAAACCTCTTGAAAAAGGGCCAGTGTTTTATCCCTGAATTTTATGCAACAGTTGAAACAGCAGCAGCAGTGAAGGCCAGGACTCTGTTTGGTAAACTGAAGTAGCAGTGTTCCTCAATGAAAGTGTTTTGACTTGCACTAGCGGAGTATCTTGCTCCCTGCCACTAGTGCCCAATAGCTTATGTGTTGGTAGCTTGTCCTAAGGTGAACTCCATACCTTTGTGTCAGTGTGTTCTTTATGGCTCTTCTTTGTCAATATGCTGTTCTTTACAGCTCTTCTCTGGTTCTTGTAGCTTGCTGGTTACTGTTTTGCAGACCTCTGGGCTTCTCTATGAACCCTTGTTTGTTTTCACTGACCTAGTAAAGCTTTCAGCTTCAACAGAAACAAGGTTGTGGTCAGAAGCCCCAAGCTGCATTACTGACACACAAGCACCAACAGATGGAGTAAAATACTAGTCTTAAACAAAGGGCTAGGGGTTTTTTCTCTCACAAAAAAGCAAGTGAATGATGAAAAAACTTGGTCAAGACTTCTAGGCTTAAATTATCAGCCTAGCATTGTGTCTGTCTTGTTACTGCAGATTTAAAATCCCTGCCTCAGCATGTGCAGTACAGATGACTTGTGCAGTGGAAGAGTGACTGACCCTTCTCTGTTTTGTTTGGAGTTTTGATGGAGATTGATTAACAATTAGCCCTTTACTGGAAGTATCACAAGTGCTGTAAAGATGGACACCTCCTGGATCTTTCCTTCTGGAAATCTGCTGCTGACCAATATAAAATGCTTTGATTACAGGTTCCAATAACTCCTCAGAATTAATTTAGAAATTAAAATAGGCAGCTATAAAATTGCTGCTAGACGCTCTTAAAGCCTTTGATTTCACAAAAAAGTAACTGAGAGTGTACGCTAATCTGCCAGTTAAATTATTTCCTACCTACTCTTTGCAATTGTATCAGGCTTTTAAAGCAGATGTTTGGGGCAGGGATTAAAGCACAGGAAGTCTTGAAGCTGTCATGAATGCCCCAAACCTTTAAGTTTTGATGCAAAGCAAGCAATCTTTTCACATTTAGCACTACTTCTGAAGTCTGCCGTTTTGGCATTTCTCAAAGTTGTGTGGCTTTTACTCTTTTTCAAGGCAATTGCAGAGAGAACCTCTTGGGTTACTGTTTAAGTGTGAAGTTCTTCTGTTTCACTAGTCTGTTGTCTTTTTCACTGTAGTGTCATGATTCCAATGATGTGTTGAACTTTCATTTGTATTTATAGTTGATCAAGGTTATCGCTAGTTTTAAAACCAAAGAAAGGAAATGTTCACCTGCTTTAAAATGATGTAATCCTATTGCAGGCCCCACCTGCCCCTGCTGCAGCTCCGGTACAGGAAGATACGAAAGTCCCCATCAGCCTTGTACTAAGGTTAAGGTAAGGACACAAAACTGACCTGTTGTCTCAAAGTGAACCTTTGTAGAGAGGGATGCTGGAAGACTTGTGTAGTGCACCTTGCCACCTGCCTTTTAATCAAAAGGGTGGTGGTTACATGTTGTTTGTCAGCTTGGCTTTCATCCGCTTTTCTGAAACTGGGACCCAGAAAAGCAGTTTATCTCATCCACTTCTTCAGTTTGGGAAGAGCTGTAGGTTGAAAGAGGTTTTGATATCTAGATAAATATTCCTAAACTCTAACAGAGAAAGGAATTAGATGGGTCCCCTAAAGGGTATCAGGGTTCCAGGGGTTCTGGCCTTGTGCTGGACCATCTAACTATTCAGGCACAACTTCAGACTTCAGCCAGTTCTGAGAGTGAAGAGCTTTTACCCAATTCAAGGCATGGATTCTGGTCTATGCCCCTAGAAATAGGCAGAAAAAGGATTGTAAGCGCATTCTGCTATCATTACACATATTGACATTTCTAACTTAAGGAACCTGCCTCTCATCTCTGGAGGCATCTTGGTTGTTCATAGGCATTGGGCTGGGACTTCCGAGCATCACCTCCCAGTCATTCCTGCACAGCTGCACGATGTGTGTGCATCTGGAGGTAGGGGGTCCTTCCTTCCTCCGAGGGATGTGCTCCAGGGATGTATCTGCTGGCAGATAGGAGTTGCTGAGACAGTGGAACAACGTGGTCTTATACCAGAGAGGTGGCACTCACTCACTCTGGACTTCAGCCCACTCAGGCTCTGTCAGGTTGAGAGGCAGAGTGTGCTGAGACCCCTGCTTCCAGACGCGCACCCAAGTGATTAGTTTTTGGCCTATGAGGGGGAGGGCTGCAGTGAATTCACGTCTCTTCACAGATTGATTATTCAATGCCAGCACTTTCTTTCGGGCATCTATCAGTGCAATGAAATGGTCTCTTCTATATAAAATTCTCTTCTTTCTACAGGAATTCAAAAAAAGAGCTCAATGATATCCGATTTGAATTTACCCCAGGGAGAGGTGAGCTGGTGGGAAATTTGAGTGTGTGGAGGTGGTTTTGGTGGGGGGGAAGTTTTGTGTTCAGTGTTGTGCAGTTGTGTGTATGGAAACCCTGTATGAGTGTGTGTCTGCAGTGCCTTCCTGAAGGGCTTGCCTTACTGTCAGGCTTGGAGCACTGCTGCTGAGAACACCCTTCTTGTAAAACTGTTCATGGATATGACCAAAGCGCAGCTCTTTGAATTCCAACTTGGAGTTTGACAGCATAGCTCAGAGCTGTCTGACTACACCTGGTGTACATGCTAATACCCATCTTGTGTAAACAACACTTTTGCTGTTTGGTTTGTACAAGCTCCTTTAGGTTTCTGTGTGGTGCCTTCATCAGTTGGACAATTCCTAGTATGTGTTGACTGGCTCTTGGGTTTCTCCCCAACAGATACTGCTGACGGTGTGTCTCAAGAACTCATTTCAGCAGGTCTTGTCGATGGCAGAGATCTGGTAATAGGTAATTAGTATTACTTTTTCTGCTCTATTTCAGTTAATTGTTTGCATGTTTCAAATGACCCCATTAGTGGGTACCAGAAGAGTTTGCTGTGGCCTTGATTCTCTACCCCAGTAGCTCTACAAAACTGCTGTTAATTCTGGTGACAGTTCTGTGCCGGTACATTTAGGCAACTCCCAGTCCACAAGAATAGGATCTAGTTGGAAACATTACGAAGCAAGTGTTCCTTGTTGTGCAAAATGAAGGCTGATCGATGGATTAGCTAAATCACTATCACCTGACATACATGCATTGCCAAATTGCTGCACAAGCCTGTACTGCTCACAGGTTCTGCACAAGAGAGGTCTGCGACTGGAATCAGCCAGGCTTTTTGATTTTAAGTAGGGCTGGGGAAGGAGGTACGAAGTGCACATGCACTAGGGCAGCAGCCCGTGTTGCTCCACTTCAAGTGAGCATGAACAGCTACCTCTAGCAACAGTTTGCTAAATAAACGTGTCCTGTGCAGCAGGTGAGACTTTTAAACTGTCAGCGCTGCCTGTATATTTCAACTACAGCGAACAAAACTGTTCCTTATACACAAGCCATGACATCTGGAAAGGCTGCTAGTGCAAAATTAACTGGATTTCCAGGTGGTTTATTGCTACTAATCCTACCACATCCAGGAAAAAATAACTACCTCTGAAAAAGCAGCATAGTAATAAATGGCAGCATTTCCACAGTTTAAAGCTTTAGATTTAAGTAGACTGAGTTTAATTGAGACCCAAACTTTTTCTGTCACTTTAAAAGTCTGTTTGCTGAGTAATAGGAAGAGGCCTAATGATTTTGGGATGTTTTTCTCTAGCCTGTCCTAATATTTGCCCATTTTCTTTGTGTGTGTGTGTGATTTCAGTTGCAGCTAATTTGCAGAAAATTGTGGAAGAGCCCCAAGCAAACAGATCCGTCACTTTCAAACTGGTATTTATTCCTGTTCCCTAATTGAACAACTTGTCACTTGCAAAGAGAAGGCATTGCCTATGTCTACTGTAGGCGTCCAATGTATGCACTTTAAATCCTCCCTTCATTCCCAAAGTTTCCTACTGGTTGTCTAACAGTCAGCAATGCAGGCTCCCTGCTTGTGTCCTCTAAGCAGCACCTGGGTTAAATAACTGCAGGAGATGATGTGTTAACATATGTATCAATTATCCTGGCTAATAAGCATATAGAAATGTTTACAAAAAGGTTTTTTCTGGGCTTTGAACATACACTCACTCAGAAAGGGCAGAAATAACTTCAAAGCAGGTAAGCGGGCTAAGAAATGCCATGGACTCCTATGTTGGAGGGGGAGAATGGGGAGGATCTCATTGTCTCTGAGGAGGGACTGGGGAAAGAAGGGGGGGGGAAGAAGAGATGGGGGGGGGGGCAAAAGAAGAGAGCCAAAACTAAGGGAAGGTAGGTTAGGAGAAGAGAAAGAAGGGCAAGTGAATCCTTCAGAGGTAATTATAGTGGCAAAGCAAAGGTGTAACCAGTTTATTGGTGGTGAAGCAGTAAGTGCTGTTATTTTTGACTCTTTCTGTAAGGAGTTTTCACTTGTTTTGCCCCAGTTAGTGCACGTAGCCCTAGCCAGAGCAGACATTGCCAAAACTTCAGTCCCAGCCCTTCCAAGCTTCAAAAAAAGGAGAAGTGCTTGATTTTAACTTTGGGTTTAAAAAAACCTTT